CAGAGTAGAAGGTTGAAACGTGTTGGAAAAATAAAGTATTCTTAATGACTTATTTTGCTTTTGGGTTGTACCACAAGATCCAACGGAGGTTCAGCCGCAGTGTGTAGCCATTCAGGAAAATCATTGCCCCAAATCATCATTGAAATTTTTCTCTTTCACATATGATTCATTGACTCATTTCCCCATGCCAAAAGTGTCATAGTTTTGTCGTTTTGCTATATTTATTATTACAGCATTCCTGTTGATTGTGTTATTCTCTGCACTTTTTCATTTTCTTCGTTACAGTATGCTCATTAGGAATTGTGGAATTGTCCGTCTCATGGTTCAGTCCTACATATTATGCAAGTGGTGGTCTTTTAGATAGTGGCAGTGGCGTTGTGGCCATCACAGGCACTGATCATTTTCTTGGTAACGTTGAAAGGAAAGGTTTAAACATTTAGCATTCGGCGTCAACTACAATTAGCATATACTTAGATACGAAGATTACACTATGAGTAGTTTAATGTTGCATAATGATAGGTCAAGCATGACTTTGATTCGTAGACGTGTGAATATTTCAGACGGTTCGGACCGGGACCACCTGAAAAATCTAAAGCTGCTTCCCTCGCAGTCAAAGGCTTATTGCAAGAGGCACTAATTTTCTTAAGGAAGAAACTCGGCCCATAGCTCGAACCGTTGCGATAAACCGAGAAATTAAAGCAATCGGATTAGCTCTTAGTTACTTCAACCAGTATGCCTTTAGCAGTTAATAATTTTATAACTGATTATAGCTCTTATAGTTTTGAGTAGTTGTTTAACTGATCACTGCATAAAACCTGACTTGATTGTGTTGATTATTTTTCATTTTAATTTTCTTTGACGTAGACGCCAGAGAAGTTTTCTGCAGTTACGACACGAAGGGCGACGAAAAAATATGCGTTGGACAAGTCGCAGACGTTCTCCGTGCCTTGGGGCTGAATTCAACCGAAGCTGAGATCAAAAAATGTTGTTCACACTGGAATAGTTTAGGTATTATTTTGATTTTGTTCTACTATTTTATTCATGGCTCTGGCAGTGAAGCATGTTTTAGTGCAGTTCGTCATAACTTTTAGTCTTGTTTCAAATTTGAGCAGTAATTTCAGTCGGGCCATCTCCTGTAGAGTTTAATTCCAGTGGAAATGGCTCACAATTGGGACAGAACAAAATTTGAGTCCACAGTTCAGTCTAATGAAGGCAGAACTAATAAAAGTGGTCAAAAGAAAGGAAGGAAACCAAAATTCATAATTGTTTGATTTCGGCCTTCTATACGAACAGTTAATGATGGAGCACTGATGTTCATTTCCATGCCATCAGTCTTATTTTACAGAGTCTGCAGCAGCTGTAGCAATCGTTGTGCGTGTTCTCCTATTTCGTATTCACAGAGTTATACTTATTTATCAGATTCGGAAGAAAGGCAGGCAAGTGACTTAGTCGGGGCCTCTGAATTCGATGCTCTACCGATTGGGTAACCTCCACGTGTGATGAACCAAATAATGAAGTGGTCAAAAATTGTATTTGTACCTTTATTACTGGAGATTCCGTCGGCTTGTTCAAAGTTAACTCTTTTTAATACCTTACTTTCATCTTGAACAAAAATCGCGGTTGCGTAACAAAGATCACT